CTCATGTCAAACACTGCTGTGGTTCTTTGTTTTCAAGTCCATGCACTGTGAGATTGCCTCTGAGTTCTTGCAGTGGAGGAGGGGTGTTGTGTTGGCATTGATTTTCCTAGCTGGTGGTGGCTGATAGATTGGTATTTGCTTCAAGGCCTCAGCACGGAATTGATGTCATTCACCTGCTATGCTGTTGTGGTGTTGCAGGATGGGCCCTCCCTTTGGGCAGGTCATGGTGTTTGATGGTGAAGCTTGCACTGCATCTGTTGCACCTCTTGGGGAGGTGGAGCAGAGTCAGTCCAAACCTCAGTCTAAGGTCGTCCTGAAATTCTGTGGCAGACAGAACAGTGCTGTTGAGGATGTGGAGAGTAGCTGCCAGCCTTGAACCCATTGCTTGTCCTTTGTGGATGCATTGACTGACCAGGGGGGACCTGGTCACTTGCAGGGAATCAAGCGATCCTTGGAGGGACTCCAATTGTTGCTTTCTTCAGTCTCCCAGGTGTCGTCCAATGGAGTCACTGTAGGTTTGTGCATTGATTGGTTCAGAATTTTGGAGAGAAGCAATGAAGTCTTTGGTGGCACTGACGGACACGTCAAAATGAGCCTTGGCTTCAGCCTGGGGGTTGGGCACACCCTGTCCCGCAAATTTCACTGGGAAGGCTGGTAAATCTTGGAGATTGACAGTGTTGTTGACTGAGTTTCCCAGTAGTGCAGGCAAGAAGTCTTCAGCTAGAACCTTTTCAACGGATGTGAAAGAATTGGCCACGTCAAGGATGGCCCGTTGGAATCACCTGTAGCAATTTTGTCAGACTGGCAAATGCTGCTTGAGGATATTGGCAGGCAAAGCTGGCAAAGAGACAAACTCCTGTAGCAATTTTGTCAGACCTGCAAAGGCAGCTTGAGGATAGTGGCAAAGAGACAGATGGTGTCAATCCATTTGTCAATCTAGGGCTTAAGCCAATGGTCCCTGGCTTTGGCAGTACCAAAGAAACCGCCTGGGCAGTGGCGAGTTGAGTTGGTTTGTGGGGCTCTAGAAGTCCCAGGTTGTTGTGGTCTGTCTGTCTGTGCATCATTCTGGCATTGTCAGTGGGACCGCCTTGCCAGTGCACAAATGTGGACCTCTCTGATGACTCGGGAGGCACCTTTGATACCTGCATGGATGCCTGCGTACAGGTTCAAATTTCCACACCTGTCAGTGGCAACAAGGGGACCTTCCATGTGAATAATGCACTTGGCCATAAGCTGCCTGTAAATCTCACTGACTCCAACAAGTCAAACTCCAGGTTGTTTGTCAATGCCACAAGGCAGCACTCCATCAAGGCACAGTAAGCGGCCCAGGGGGGCTGGTGATTGGCCAACCAGTTTGTGAGGAGCGCAAATTCCTCCCGCAACACCTGTGCTGTGTTTTGAGCTCCTCCCCATCTGTGCCACCAGGACCCGCAGCACCAGAGAGTATGGCACCAACCAGCTAAATAATGTCCTGCGTAAGTTAGTGGCATCAGTTTTGGTGTGTTGGAGTAGTGTTCAAAAACCCCATCTGTGTTGCCCAGGGTTGTTGGATTCCACAGAGAAGGATGCGGTTGGAGTAGTGTCCCGAATGGACCGGTGCACTGTTGGGGATAAAGAAAAGAAAATGCATGAGCAGAATAAAGGAACCTTGGTAAATTTCAAGGAACTAACAGCCCAAGCCAATCCCGAAGATATCTTCTATTTGGAACTAGAATTATATGAATGTTTAATTAACTTGCCACCAGTCTCAGAAATGGAAAACCCGTTAACAAGTGCAAGCTTTTATACTTATCAGCTCATGGATCCCAAATGCAAAAGACTGCTTGAATCAGACCCAATACACGACATTAATAGGAAGACAGGAACCTTTGAGTTACTCACAGTAACACCAAACATTAAAGGGGTGAACTCCACGGATGACAATAATAATTGGAAGATCTACTTCCCTGATGGGCTTGTAGACAGCACCCTCAGATGGTATCATCTCTTATTGGGACACTGCAGAGCCACAAGGCTCTATGAGCAAATCAGTCCTAGGTTTTATGCCCCAAGACTCAGCCAGAGATGTAAAGAATACCGATGTCCAGATGAGTGTCACCAGTTCAAACAACAAGGCCAGGGACATGGTCATCTACCACCACAAGAAGCTCAACTTAGTCCTTGGGATGGAGTTTGTGTAGACCTGATAACTGAATTAGTGATCAATGCTCTCACTTGCATTGATCCAGTCACCAACCTATTAGAAATAATAAGAATCAACAACAAGTCAAGTGAGCAAGTGGCTGAACAGTTTGCCAACTGTTGGTTATCCCAATACCCCAAACCTAACAGGTATGTTCACAATGATGGTAAAGAATTCATCGGAACCCCATTTAAACAGCTTTTAAATCAATTTGGAATAAAGAGTGTTCAAACTACAGTGAATAATCCCCAGGCAAATGCAGTATGTGAGAGAGTCCACCAGACGATTGCCAATGTTCTACGGGCTAATCTTCACACAATGTCTGATGAATCTAAGTTTGATGAAAAACAACTGATTGACAATGCACTAGCCTCTGCAATGCATGCCACCAGATGTGCTGTAAATGCTTCATTGAAGACCTCACCTGGAGCTCTGGTTTACAATCAAGACATGGTAATGGATATTCCACTCATTGCAGATCTAAACATCATCAGAGACAAACGCCAACACCTGATAGATGAAAATCTCAGAAGAGAGAATGCTAAGAGAATACCTTTCCAATATCAGGTTGACCAGCAAGCCTACATGAAATAATATGAACCAGACAAGCTCTCCCAAAGATTGCATGGCCCCTATCCTATAGTTGAAATTAATACCAACAGAACAGTGGTTTTACAAAGGAGGGATAATGTACGTGAAACTGTGAACATCCACAAGCTTGTTCCCTATAGTAAAGGAACTGGTGTCAATGCTAATCCTGAGGACCCAGCAACAATAGAGGAAGAGCATCCCCCTGTTGAGGATACACAGGATGTTATTGTTACAGTCTAAGTAATGCTTGAGCAGCATTCATGTTGGGGATAATGCAAGGGATATGTAGGCACAGCATGGAAGCATGCGGTGGTGATTTGTTGGAGTAGTAGAGGTGCTTGAAGCGCCTGTGGCTGATTTTGTAATCAAATCATGATCCCTTGGTATCACAGAATTTTGAAGTTAGGGATTCCAAAAATGCCATTTTTGGCCATCTGTTTACAGGCATACCCAGTGACTTTTTTTGATTTGGGAGGGGAGGGGGGTTGGGAGACCTATTGCAGTGCCCTTGGGAAAATTTCCCTTGGTTTAGAAAAGGAACCTGGATGTAACTTCTCACTACTATTTACCACTATATCTCCCCAGGAGCATATGAATGTGCAGAATACATGCCTCAAGAATGCAATCATTTAAAATATCCCCAGAGTATTCTACCATATTATCAGTAACCGTTGAGCAGCTCAACATTTCGGCGTACTCACACGCGCTCAGTTACTGCGCAGTTACAAAAAACTAACATTAACAAAGACTAGTTATTTTTTGCTTAAGTACATGCACCTCAACTGGTTACAAACTGTGCGGACTGAATTTTGTAACCAAACCCTTCCTTAAGGAGAGCCCATATTATCTCCTCCACCATGATAGTAGTAGTATCAAACATCTCTTGGACAAAGTTCTCTGAAAACAGAATAAAAATAGAAGTTTTATATATTAATTCTTCATTAAAAGAAACATACTGGTAACAGTACTAGTAGCAATAGAAAATTTAAGGGTCTTGACAGTGCAGCACCAGAATACCAAGAAGAAACAAGCCCGCCCACCACCAATCTGTTTTGTGTGACAGACTAGTAGCTAGTACGGAGGGTGAAATCTTGAAGTGCCACAACAGAAATTGTATATATTGCAAACATATTATTTATCTTTGGAGTAGTAGTATAACAGGAATGACAGAATGCTTTGGTTGTACTACTACTACTATGAAGTTGTCCATTTCATCTGAAAGAAGTTCAACCTCAACTCTTATCTGTAAAAATCACGTGTGCAATAAGCAGTTAGTGTAGTGTTGATATAACAGGTGAATACACTGTAATATACACTAGGAACTTAGCTAAGATAAAGATCATCATGTTATGAGGGCATGATAGGGTGTTTTAGATGTTAATAAAAAAGAATAAGTGTGATCAAACAGCAGCTTGCTGTTTGCTGTATGGCGATTCGTACCGATCGAATCCAAAGATACGATTCAACCTTAGTTTAACCTTAACCCTAATCGTTGAACTGTACGAAGATACGATTTGATCTTGGGATACGGTTTAACTCTAACCTTAATCGTAATACTCGTACGATTCATTCATTCGTATCGTACGAGTGATTCAACTCAACTCAATCCACGAGTGATTTTCACATATCCCCAACCCCAGTGGCGCATTGCTCTAGTTTTTTCGCTATCAAAAATCATTCTTCTTTTGTAAATGAATTTAGTGTCAGCAGTGCAACACGCACGACGCCTTCTACGTACAACGTTAATCGATCGATTTTGTATGAAGTAATTTGTGGTCGCGGTTTACCTCACAAAATCGAGTAACTTTAATTAAATAGCTTTTGGCGGCCTTGGAATCTGAGGAAAAGATACTTCTTCTGTCTTCCATCCATCCGAAGAAAACTCTGACCAATCAGATCGATTTACCTTATAAGTAAAGGAAAAGAAGACCATTCTTACCGTAACAGTCTCTTGCCAAAAAAATTAAAGACTATCCTTAAGTATTCGAAAAACCAAAGAACCAAAGTAGTTTTTCCAAGTTCATTTAAGGTTGCACGACTATTGATTAGTTAAGGTTGCATTACTTTATTCCTGGATACGTATAGAAACCCTTTCATTTGTACTGGAATAGTGTAGAATTCTACAAGTCATCTGGTTTCGGGTATTTCTGAAAGAAAGAGAAATTTTGTTGAAACCACGCAGTTAGACGAATAGCCGAATCGATAACGAAAAGCACATCCTTTTACCCACAATGTAAAACTTGAAAACTCTCAAAAGCAGAACTTCAAGAAGCGAAAATCAAATCAAGGAACATCATTGGAATCATGAAGCTCTTCTCAACTCTTCTACTCGCATCGTTATCTTCGGCCAACGGCCAAGGGGCTCAATTGTTGGCCCGATGGGATATGAATGAGCCGACAACTAGTTTCGAGGCGGACACGAACACTTTTGTTTTTGATTACGTTGGAACGTCACCCGATAACGTGGGAGGAACTGGAGTAACTCAACACGTTATGTATTCTTACGATTGTAAGGATGATGGTACCTTCACCGCGCAAGTCCCTCCCGTCACTGAAGTTGTAGTTACTGATGGAGTAGAGATCACCGAACAACTCTCCACTACAACCCCAGCTCATCCGCAACTCCGCATTAAAATTACTCCCAAAACTCTCGCCAACAACAATTTGATCTACGATGTGTTGACACAAGATTGGTTAACAGCCTATAAAGCAGCAAACAATGATGAGAACCCTCCCTACACAAGTGTGTCTGGGTATGGAGACTTCGCAAGTTCTGAGGATTTAGGTAAAGGCTTGGCACACATGTGTCTTCGTTACGGTATCGGAAAGACGGTTACTGGTTTTTACGAGATCAACTTCATCGAAACATTGATTGAAGTTAAGTACGACCTAACAGCCGGTTTCAGTGTTGATGGATTTTCCGTTGCTCCAAAAAACAGAGAAGTTGTTACCGAAATCAAATCGGACTACACTCTTGAAGCGTATTTGTGCAACCCAGCCAGCACCGACACCCCAGAAGATTTCAACGGAAACACGTACGTATGGCCTACTGCCGATCCTCAAGCAGCTGGTACCGCATTTAACCAAGGAGCTTTGATCAAGATTTGTATTAAACCAATCGGTCAGACACGAATTGACGGTCTTTACCTCGAAGGAATTACTTCCTACACATGGAAACTTTATGACGAACCTGGTACCAGTGAGATCACCGGTGTGACCCAGGGGATCGATGACGGCTTGAGTTACATGTCGTGTTTCGATGTTAACGGTAGTGACTCTGGCAATGGGCCCTTTGATTACTGCACGATTGAATCCATTCTATATGCTGATTTTTACAAAGTAGCTGGGACAGTTAAAGGTAGCGGTGAAGCAACACTCGACTTTGGAGCAGTGCCAGCTGCAAGACTTTTGAAAGCCGCGAATAGTGAGGAGGAAGCCCGAAAGTTGCAGGAAGCTCCTTCGGCCGAGTTCGATGTTTCGGTCAGTGTGAGCAATGATGCCGAAGGTCCTGGTGCCCTCAAAACAGCTGGAGGAATTTCTCTCAATGCATCTGCGTTCGCAACTCTTGCTGCTCTCTTGAGTGCTATTATGTTGGCCTAAGTGTGAACATATGTTTGGTGTTTTTAAAATTTATAATAGTCCCACAAGAACAAGATTGTGTTCCCAAGGTCAGAATTTTCACAGGGGAGCACTCTCTTCCGACTAAGAAGTAATAAATAAAGTGTTACAAGACAAACGTCATAACATCAAACTGTTGTCTTGAGGTTGGGTTTCGTTTGTGTATTTTGTAGGGTTTGGCTTGCTATTCTCTTACTATGTATTACGTTACACCGATGTGTTTTGCTATTAGCAAAATCATATCATACTATCACACCATTGATCATAAGTACGGTACGTGGGAAAACCTGAAAAAACCTGGGGTTGGGGTTGCGGTTGGGGTTGGGGTTGTGGG